TGTAGTTGAGACTGACCTGGAACTCACTATGTAGTCCAGGCTGGTCTTGAACTCATAGCGATCCTCCTGCCTCAGCCTCCCGAGTGCTGGGATTACAGGTGTGCGCCACCACGCCCGGTTTCTAGCAACATCTTTTGATCATTTTGCTATTGACATTAATCCTTTAAAAATCCCACAGTGCGAAGCTGTATCACTAGCCAGGCACAGTGGTGCACACCCATGATCCCAGCTACTTGGGAAGCCGGGGCAAGAGAACGGTAAGTTTGAGGCCAGCCTGAGTGGGCAGCTTAGTGAGACCTTGTCTGTGTTTTCTTCTCCTTTATTCTATTGGCAGTGCTGGTGCTTTACACTTTAAGTCCTTTTCAAATTTAATTGTTTTTTTTAATGGTGCCGGGAACTGAACTCGGGCTCTTGTGCTCACGAGGTAGGTGGCAGCGGAACCACTGAGCCAAATCCCCGGCCCCTCAAATCCTTTTTTAAAACAATGTTTATTGGCGTATAGTTATGATACGGAGTATCTGGGTTCGTTTTGGGGGTCAGCGTGTACACCCTGTCTCGGTCATTGTAACCTCTTTGGTCCTCCCACTGCCTGGGCAAATGCTCTCCCGCTGAGCTTCACCCCCAGCTGCAGGTCTTGTGTAATAAACTAGAAAAGGCGGGGGATGTAGCTGAGTGCCCCCGAGTTCAATCTCCAGGACCAGACCAAAAAAGAAAGAAAGAAAAGTAGCATTACTATTATGTTTTACAATTAACTAAGTATTTTATGTGTTCTTATTAAAAATGTCTGAAGCTCAAACAGGTGAGGTGCACACCTGTAATCCCAGCGCTCCTCAGCTACACTGCCAAGTTCAACTTCAGCCTGAGCTACATAGTGAGGCTGTGTATCAAAGCAAAAAGTCTGAAATTAATATCTTTTTTTTTTTTTTGAGACAGGGTCTGACTATCTTGCTAGGTTGGTCTTGAACTCACTATGTAGCCCAAGCTGGCCTTAAACTCATGGTGCGATCCACCTCAGCCTCCTTCCTGCATGCTGGGATTGCAGGTGTGCACCATTATGGCTGGCCTTGCACCTCTTCTGTGTGAGGTAGACCTTTTCCTCATAGGTATGTGCTATGATCTGTGTCTAGCTGTCCCCCAAAGCCTTCCGTGGTTATAGGCTATTCTGGAGGTGGCTGAATCAAGAGTGTGGTGGGGCTTGCTGGAGGGCACTAGGATTCAGGGTGTAAGTGCTGCCTACCCTAAGTAGTCTGTTGCACTTTTTTTTTTTTTTTTTTTTTTGGTGGTACCAGGGATCGAACTCAGGACCTTGCCCATGCAAGGCAGGCACCGGCACCACGGAGCTAAGTACTACACGGAGCCCTAAGTAGTCTGAATAAATTCAAAGGGGCGGAAAGAAGCTGTTAAGGTTCCTGGTTGCTTTTGCTGTCTTCTACCACCATGAACTGTGGCCCCTCTGCCACCCCGCCTTGCAGCCATCCGATTATGGACTGAAAGCACTGAGAAACTGTGAGCCAAATAAACTTTTCCCCCTTAGCTTTGGGTGTTGGGTATTTTGTCTCAGCACTGAGAAAAGTAAGTGACACAGAATGGATGAAACAGGTCACAGTATATGGCAGAGTTGAGACCTGAACTTGGACAAATGCTTGTCCACAATCCTGAAAACCACAATGTTCTGAAAACCAAAATATTTTTTGTAATTTGACACCAAAATTAATTTGGCAGCAAAGTTGGACCTAAAATGTGAGGCTATCAGTAGACTGTGTTTATTCCATTACGAATACTGTTTTGCAGCATAAATGTTACTATGTTTGGTTAAAATACTGCTCCTGAGTCCAACCAAAATATGTTTCATAACACATGGGCTATGCTCTGCATTAACTGTCAAAATTCTGCAAAACTGCGGGGCTGTAATTGGGGCACTGGGTGGCACAGGCTATAATTCCAGCTACTGAGGAGGCTGAGGCAAGAAGGTTGATTCCACACTTGAGGCCAGCTTGGCAATTTAGCAAGACCTTGTCTCAAAACAAAAAACGAGAGATAAAAAGGTATCAAGATGACATAGCTCAGTGCTAGAGTGTTCTGGGGTTCAGTCCTCTATAACGTAAAAAAATTCTAGATTTTGAATTTGGAAACATCTGGAGCCTTCTAACTTTAGTTGATATTTAAAAGAGATATTTAAAGAGATATTTAAAAGAGCAGAGAGTTAACTAACTTTTAATCCACTTAACGTTTCAAAGCGTTGATCACAGCTTGCTACTTCTATTAACCTGTCTTGTGATGTCCAGTTCGGCCAAACGGGAGCCTGAGTACCTGAGACGTGGCTCATCGGAACTGAGATGCCCTGCGTGAAATACTGTGACCCGAAAATTTTGTATGGGGAGAAAAGTGAGCCATTTCACTCAACGGTGCAGCGCCTTCCTGGCAAGCACGAAGCCCTGAGTTCAATTCCTGGTACAAAAAAAAAAAAAATTAGAATAAAATTTCTTTACCGGGTGAAACAGTAATGCAGTGCAGTTTCCTGAAGACGTTGAATTGGACGTATTAACATTACGCCTGCAGCATTACCTGTCTCCAGTGCGCCGCGCTGCTCCTCATCCAAGCGGCACCAGCAGCCAAGACTCCCGGGACGCTAAACCACATGACAATGTTTTTAGAGCGATTTTTTTTTTAAGTGGTGTTGGGATTGCAACCAAAGTCTTCGCACTGAGCTGCATCCCCAGCTCCTTTTATATTTTTATTTTAAAATTTTGAGACAGGTCTCCCTAAGCTACTAAGTTGCGCACGCTGGGGTCTACTTTTCGATCCTTCTGGCTCAGCCTCCCGAGTACTGGGATCACAGGCGTGCACCGTTCTGCTCGTCTAGGAGGCAAATTTTAAAGGAGCTTCAAACCAAGCCAGCACGCCTGCACTTTGCGTTTTCAAGAACCTTGGCCAAACCACGCTCCGTCCCCCAGCCCCCGCGCCTGCGCAGAGACTTGTCGTGGATGAAATTTGTCCCCCGCGAATTCCCGTCTGCCGGCGTCAGGCTTGCGTTCCTGGGATCGGAATCCGCGATGGCGTTCCAGTGTCAGCGCGACAGCTATGCCCGCGAGGTGTGGCCGGGGCGCAGGCTGGGGGGCGCGCCACGGGGAGCGGGGGTCGGGCTGTCTGAGTCTCGTCCTTCCCCTGCAGTTCTCCACCGTGGTGGTCGCCTGCCGCCCCGCGGAGATGCCGGCCGAGGCTGGCGAAGGCCAGAAGGAGGTGAGGCGCGGGTTCCAGGTGGTGCTGGAGGACACGTTGCTCTTCCCCGAGGGCGGGGGACAGGTAGGGCGGTCGTGTGCGTCACTCTCCTTTCAACATGAATCTGCAGACACTCGCGGAACATGTGTTTAAATCGGGCGCAAGCATTCCAGGTGGTGCTGGAGGACACGTTGCTCTTCCCCGAGGGCGGGGGACAGGTAGGGCGGTCGTGTGCGTCACTCTCCTTTCAACATGAATCTGCAGACACTCGCGGAACATGTGTTTAAATCGGGCGCAAGCCTGCAATGCCAACACTTGGGAGGCTGAGGCAGGAGGATCGCATTGCACGACCTTATCTCAAAACCCCAAACCAGCCGGGATTTAGCTCAGTGGCGCTGTGCCTGCCTCGCAAGCACAAGGTCCTGAGTTCGATTCCCTAGTAACGAAAAACAAAAACAAAAAACAATGGGTCTCAAAAAACCAAAACCAAACATGCTCAGTGTTATCCCCGGCTCTAAGGATAAAGAATGGCAAGTCAGTGTCTTTATCTGCATGGGGTATCTTCCAGGAATGTGGTGTGCAGGAGGATAAAGCCTAATCAGGGCAAGAATGCTGGGATGCTCTTGGAGAGGAGCCAGTTACTGCAGGGTGGACCTAGAGGAAAGGAAGGGGTGAGGCATTATAATTACCTAGGGGTGCTGGGGAGGGAGAGGGTTCCCTACGGCACGGCAGGTACCAAAACCTCAAGGTGGGAACTGACCGGGTGTTTGGCTGGGGCTGGAAAAGATGGCCCTGTGGGATTCCAGTGAGGGCAGTGTGAACACAGGGTAGGTGCATGCCAGCAGTTTTCCCACACCGAGGTTTCTTGATCTGAAGGAAAGCCTGCACCCGCAGGTGTCCGTCCCAGGCCTCAGGTAGGCAGCATTCCCTTCAGGAAGTCCCGCTTGGCCCTCAACTTAGGGTTCTCAGGCAGCATGTGTTTTTCAGCATCATGGCAAGGTATAGATCAGTGGTGGCGAACCTATGGAATGGCATGCGTGCTGCCGTGGGTTATTTGTGCCCCCGAAAGCCCTGAAAGGTTCGCCAGTACTGGCTAGATCCTGCTGCAGCTGCTGGAAGTCTCTGTGTCTGTCGCAGGAGGACCCTGTCTTGTTTACATTGTATTCTTGGGCTGGAACTGTGTCTTGGAAGCACTTGATCCTTGATACTCTCATAAAGGAATGAATATTCTTGAATCTTATCCTGGTAGCAAAGCAGAGTGTGGAGTAGTGAGAGGCAGAAAAATTCTGGTCATTTTAGAAACCTTTTTGTTTTAAATTTGGGAGGCAGAGCCTCAGTTTGTACCCAGGCTGGCCTCTAACGTGGGATTGTCCTGCCTCAGCCTGCTGACTAGCTGGGGTTACAGGCACGTGCTCCCTGACCAGCCATTTTCAAGATCAGTAAGGATAAGAATCCACATTAGGAAACAACAGTGAAGATACAGTTTCTTTGGGTTTTACTGAAACCTTCACTGCCGTACTTCCGATCTCTTCCCATTTTAATTCTGTCATCTGCTCTGAAGAGCAGACTGCATAGGAGCTCAGAGCAAGGCATCCACAAGTGCCCGGCGTGGATCGCAGGGGACCACCTATGCTCTTGGGGGCTCTGCTTTGGGTCTGTCCCTTGACTTCCTTATAGCAGGCAGGCCGAGCCCTGGCTCTCCGCCACCTGCCTTTGTTCCTCTCCAGCCTGACGACAGGGGCACGATCGACAATGTCCCTGTGCTGAGAGTGACCCGCCGCGGGGTTGAAGCTGCTCACTTCACGGAGACGCCACTGGCCCCGGGGAGCCGGGTCCGGGTCTGCGTGGACTGGGAGCGGCGCTTTGACCACATGCAGCAGCACTCGGGTAAGGGCGTGGCCGGCCCAGCATGTGCCGTGGTGACTGGGATGTAGTTAGGGGTCTCGCCTCAGATTGTCCAGCTCAGCAGGGCAGGACAGAGTGCGGGAAAGGGACAGGAACAATTGAAAGCATTGGCACGACCACGGGCCTCGGGTGTCACTGGCGCCCCCCCTTGATACCGCCGCCTGGTTCTCTCGAAGCCTCTTCCAGTCCACAGGGCCCGGAGTGCAACGAGAAAGGCTCCCTTCTTGTCCAGCCTGTCCTCTGCCTCCTGGCGACAGTGTGGTCTCCTGGAGACGGTTCCTCAGCCTAGCGCTTTCTGTCCCGGTGCTGCAGCTGTTGTGACCCCAGTGCTCCCTGTGCGTCTGTGGCTGCAGTTGCTCCTGTTTGGCCCGCTTCCCCTCAGCAGCCACTGTGTCCTTTGCTATTGGAAGGCGCTGGGCATCAAACCCAGGCCTCTCAGGCTACGGACTCAGATAAGCCCTGAACCTCTAGTGCGGGCACGCGGGAAGCATGTACCCAGTGACAGTGCGTGGCTGAACGCTGCACACCAGGACCTGGACAGGCTGGCCCTGGATCAAGGCCGGCAGTTTTCTGCAGCTGCTGGTTTCAAGCAGGAGCCTAAAGAGATGTCTTTCTATGGTCTGTTGGCCATTTTAGAACTTGGCAAATGGAATGGTCAATTCATTAGAAAGGCACAGTTTACTAAAAAAGCAGTTATACCCAGGCGTGGTGGGGCATAGCTGTCATCCCAGCACTTGGAAGGCTGAGGCAGGAGGGTCGCTGCCGTTCAAGGCCAGCCTGGACCACATTGTGAGACCCTGTCTCTCAAAAACAGACAAACAAAATCTTTGCCTCTCTTGATTTATAGTTTTACATTTATTTAAAAGTATGTATCAGCATCAAAAGTACAGACTTAAATTTTCCTCGTCTTATTTTTTTTACTTTAGGGCATGTTAAACACTTCCCCACTGTCTTCCCTGCTATTTTCTTTTCTGTCCACAGAGAACCACGTTTTAAGTGTTTATCTTCCGAGTTCTAAGTACTTTGCACACACTTTTCTGTGTTGAGGACAGTAACCCTCTATGCACTTAGTACAATCGTCAGTTGGCAGGGTATTTAATGAAAAGAGGCACTGAGGTTCACATCTCACCTCAGCAAGCGCCGTTGCCACGGTAGTTCTGCCTCAGGTGAGCGGCCCTGGTGGCCTGTGGGGCCACAGTGACTTTATCTTTGTGGAGTGTGAAGCTGGGCTTCTCGCTTTTTTTGTTGTTTTTTTTTTTTTGGTGCCGGGGATTGAACTCGGGTCCTTGCGCTTGCAAGGCAGGCCACTGAACCACTGAGCTAAATTCCCGGCCTTCGCTTTTGTTTTTTAAAGATTGGGGGGTTTGAGACAAGTCTGACTGTGCAGCCCAGCTGGCCTTGACCTTCGTCCTACTGCCTCAGCCTTCCCAGGGCTGGGATCCCAGGTGTAGCCGAGCTCAGTGCGGGCTGACACCTCCCTGCTCTCCTGTCCTTTGCTCTTGTTGCCCAGGGCAACACCTCATCACCGCAGTTGCTGATCATCTGTTTGGCCTGAAGACAACCTCGTGGTGAGCAGGGGCTCCCCACCTGTCCCCGGATGGGTTGGGAACAGGAGGTGACACACAGGTTCCCCTCAGGTTGAAGATCACAGGGCAGCCTGTGTTTCTTAGGGGAACATGGGAGGACAGGAGGGACATCTGCCTTTGCTTGGGAGGACATAGGGTTTGGAGCTCAGAGGCCTGGAGTAACCCCTCCCCCTGTTCTGGCCTCTGGCTTTGAGTGCGTCCCTCAGTGCCCTCACCTGTGAGGCGGGAAGGGCGGTCCCTACCTTGAGGGGTGTTTCAGTGGTACTGGGGATTGAATTCAGGGCCTTTGCATGGAGCTGCATCCCCAGCCCTTTATCTTGAGACTGAGTCTTGGGAAGTCACTGAGTTGCCCAGGTGGGGCTGGAACTCGATCCTTCTGCCTCAGCCTCCAGAGCACCGGGTGACAGTTGTGCGCCACAGTGGCTGGCCCTTGTGGGGTTATTGTGAGGGTGAAAGGCAGTTGCTGGTATGAGCGGTGCGGTGGTGAGCGCCTCCCGCAGTGGCCTCCTTCCCGGGCAGGGAGCTGGGGCGGCTGCGGAGCACGATCGAGCTGAACAGCCCCTCCGTGACCGCAGAGCAGGTGGCTGCCATCGAGCAGAACGCCAACGAGAAGATCCGTGCGCGGCTGCCTGTCAGTGTGCGCGAGCTGAGCCCAGACGACCCCGAGGTGGAGCAGGTGCGGGGCCGGGGGCTGCCGGATGATCACGCTGGGCCCGTGCGGGTGGTGACCATCAAGGGCGTGGACGCCAACATGTGCTGCGGGACCCACGTGAGCAACCTCAGCGACCTGCAGGTAGGTGGGCCTGAGCTGTCTGCAGCAGGTGGGTGGGGGCTCTGCCGTCCTGCTTCCAGGCTGTGTGCGCAAGAGTCGCTGTGACCCCTGCTGTAGGTCATCAAGCTCCTGGGCACCGAGAAGGGGAAGAAGAGCAAGGCCAACCTGCTCTTTCTGGCCGGGCACCGAGTGCTGAAGTGGGTGGAGCGGAGTCACGCGAACGAAAAGGCTCTCACCGCGCTGCTCAAGTACATCCCGGCCCTGGCCCCTTCGGTGGCCCCGTCTGTCTGTCCTCAGGGCCTGGAATCCTTAGCTCTGCCCCCTGCAGGGTGA